GATAGTGTGTGTGCTTATGTATACACGGAGAAAATTTTATATAAAAAAATTACTGTGTACGGCAGTGACCGCAGACCATAAAGGAATTATAAAAATTTTTACTATACAGAGAAAATTTTATATCAAAAATTACCATGTACGGTAGTAGCCGCGGACCATGAAGGAATTATAAAAATTTTCACTATGTTTTTCACATGTGAAACATAGTAAAAATTTTCGGTTCGCGGCTTCATGGTCCACGATTAATGCCGTACATAGTAATTTTTTATATAAAATTTTCTCCGTGTGGTAATATTATATTTTATGATGCAAATAAACAAAAAAATAATTGTGTTAATATATTTTCTAAAATTTTTCTCTGTCTTGCTGCTATGTTTTCTATAAAAAATTAGAAAACATAGCAGCAAGACAGCAAGACAAAAAGAATGACAAATTTATCTTATACTTATTATTCTTTCTATTTTTATTTACACTATTAATTATTAGTTCGACGTTATCGCGACATTAGTTATGCCAGTATTAAGATATATATTACAATGATAAATAGACTGCAAATAAAATAAATGATTACAGATTTACAATAAGTATTTTATCATAAGTATTTAATGACATACTATCCCAAAATGCAAGTTTTAAAATATAAATATGTATATGTAAATTAAAATCTTAAATAAAACGAATCATTGCATAATGAAAATTATAAATCTCTTAACAATCGAATATGTACATGTTCTAAAGTTATGATAAAGATGTGCGTCCTATGTATTCTAGAGAGACATTGTTTTCCTGATTCATACGTTGGTCACAATATATTCGAATAAAAGTACAGCAGAATAATGCCGACTTCTGGCAAGGTTAAGACTTCTATAAACAGAGTTCCAACAGTTCTAGAGTGTCTTTCGTGGAATACAGATGAGTATAATACTAGCATACGCGATTCACATTTCTTAATACCGTTTCTTAATAATTAATTATCTTAATTAATTAATTTTTTATGTGCTATTATTTCACGTTTAAATACTGTATGTAAATGTAATTAAATTAATGTAATTATCGAAAATGAGTCAAGCTAAGAAGCGTACTAGTTTGCAAAAAAGAAGTGCACTGTCATTCGCTGATGCGGACGGCACGCTCGACATTGATCACGTTTTACAAACCGACGTCTTGAAAGATGTCGAAAAATTTGAAGAAACTATCGCTGGTCAGGTACAAAATGTATTGAACGAATTTCGTGATAAGCTAGCTCAAACACCAGCAAATCCGAGCAAAAAAAAACAAAAAACAGGTAAGACAATTTTAATGCATTTTTATAGAATTTTAATCTAAAGCTTCATTGTAAAAATATTCTTATATTTGTAATATTTGTTAGACAACTTATTCCATCAATTGATATCGCAAATTCATCTACGAAAGGAGAAAATAAGATTCCCTACAATCGCAATAATAATTTGAATCTTAAGATAATAAATATATCTTTACAGATAAAACCACTGCCGAAAAAATTCCGAAGCAACCTACAAAAAAACTTGCTGCAAAATCTGTGACAAAAAATTCAACAAAAAATTTACCAGGAACTTCATCAGCCTCGTCAACTTCATCAATTTCGACGAATAAACAAGATAATATATCTAAAACTAAGAAAGAAAAAGAAAAAGACGTATCGATAAAGCAAAACATTCCTAAAACAACGAAAAATCTTACTCTACAATCCCAACATGATACCGATAATACGAAGGAAACAGCTAAGAAATCTTCAAAACCCAAAGACAAAGACAATACCGTTAAGAAATCGTTAAGAACGAAACCGTTAAGAACAAAAAAAAAAGAAAACGTGCAAAATATAGAAAATATAAGTTGTTCAACAAATATAACCAATAAAGTATCAATAAATACACATAAAAAAGAATCTTCTAAAGAGCCGGCGACAAAAAAAGAATTAAGCAAGAAAAATATGAAACAAATGACAGAAGACAATACCGTTAATAAATCAGTCGGAACAATAACAGAAGAAAATATGCAAAGTGTAACAAATATAAATTGTTTAACAAATGTAACCAATAAAGTATCAACGAGCACACATAAAGAAAGATCTCCTAAAGAGACGGCGAAAAAAAAAGAATTAAACAAGAAAAATATGAAACTAATGATGGAAGACAATACCGTGAATAAATCAGTCGAAACAATAAAAAAAGAAAATATGCAAAATGTAACCAATAAAGTATTAACGAGCACACCTAAAAAAAGATCTGCAGAGTCGGCAAAAGAAAAAGAATTAAGCAAGAAAAATATGAAACTAATGACAGAAGCCGATACCGTTAACAAATCAGTTGGAACAATAAAAAAAGAAAACATACAAAATGTAACAAATATCAGTTGTTTAACAACTGTTACCAATAAAGCATCAACGAGCACATCTAAAGAAATATCTCCTGAAGAGACGGTTGAATTTGAATCAGAAAATGTCAAAGAGAGCAGTAAAATACTGGAGAAACATGAATATTACAAAAAATATGGTAAAATATTTTAAAAATTTAAATAAAACATATTATATTCCTCAATTTCTATATTTATTATACTTATTATGTAATTATTTATTATATTTTGCGGGTTATATTATTAAATTTATATATTTTAAATAAATTAAAATAAACATTATTTTTTTTAGATAACACAAAAGTGATCGATACAGATGAAATGAATTTGACCTTACAGGAAATAGAAAAATATTTCAACAGCAATGAAGATCTCGATGAATCAATAAACAAAACAGAATTTACCAATAAATTAAGGGGCAAGTGATAAGCATATAAAGAATAATAATTTTATAGAGAATAATTTAAGCTTATTTTCTACTTGAGAAATATGTTATTTAAATTAAGGTCGCGATGGAATATAATAGCTTGTAGGCAAAACACGTTTTGAAAAATTCAGTTTCTTAATAATCATGATTTTATCTCTTTTAAACAAAATAAAGGTCTGTGATAAGCTAAAAAAGAATATTGCGATTAAATATTAATAATAGAAAAATAAAAAAATGTCTAAGAGTTTTTATTTTTCATAGAATTTGTTTTAAATTTGTTTAAATGCATTTTAAACAACGAACCTTCTAACATAACTTACATATATTTTGCTTACTTATATAAAGCTCATTTACATTGATTAACATTTATGATTACTTTGTAGAGTGGAATATAAACGTGGAGAAAATCACACGAATTAAAGAAAGTTTGCGGTTAGAAAAAGAACAGACCGATGAAAAAAAACAGTGTAAGAGGAGCAAACAGATAGCAAAAGCTCTTAAAGAACTTAGTCAGCATATGGCAGCCGTCATGAAGAAGATACACGCAGTCAACATAAAATCTGGTAAAATATTTTTATGATTATAGTCTCGATCAAATTTTTCTATGTAAATGTGATGAATATATTCTGTATAATGTGTGTGAATGTTGTTCCATATTTTATTCTGATTAACATAAAACATGCTTTTTCATCAAAGCGTTTTCAATATCAAAGAATCTTCTCTTTGCCTTTCATTTATGTGGCAAAATTCATCTTATTGCAACGTCAAGTGTAAGACAATTAATTCGCGTCGTGACAGTTTATATAGAATTCTATCGTCATCTGACAGTTTGATAAATTCGTACACGATAGTCATGCAGTCCTAAATTTTACATTTCCGGAACTGAAATTGTTCACCAATTTTTCTTTCTTTCTCTCTCTCTGTTTCAGAAGACAATGAATCGGATTTTAGCGACAACTTATCATGTACCTCATCGTGCACATCAGACTCATCATACTCATCAACTTCTACTTCATCAACTTCTACTACTTTATCGACTTCAACTTCAACTTCTACGACTTCAATTAGTATCTCCTTTTCTGATTCCGACGATGACTATTCCGATCAATCTAGAAACTTTCGTTATTTTTGTTCTGTATACACGGAAGAAGACTTGGAACAGTATAATTCATGTACAGATTCCTGCTGCTAATTCAGATTCAGAAAAAAGAACAAAAATACGAACATTAGAAAGGATTAAAATGGGTTAAATTCTGACAAAACTTAAATTAATGATATAGTTTACATGAAAGCATACAAAATTAAAATCGCACAAAAAAATTAACTTTTTATAAAATTAACTTTTACTTGATTATTCTTTATATTATTTCTATGTTTTTTAATCTCTATTTTTATTTTTTGTTTATTCAATTTTAATTTTATTATATATTTGCATTTTAATAATAAATATATGTTATAATTATCTATTGCGTTCAAAAATTTTATTTATTTAAGAAAAATAAATTTAAAAATCTTATAAAGTATCCCATATTTTAAGATAGATTTAATAGTCCTTAACGATCATCAACTTTCTTGAATTTCTCAAAGTTTCTAATAACTATTTCCCAAAGTTTCTAATAACTATTATTCTAGTATTCTATAATAACTAATAAATCAAATTGCATAAAATCCACCCAATATTTTATACTTTTTTTTTCTTTATGAAATAAAAACAGAATGCTGTACAAATTATCTCTCATAGTTTTTAATATATTATTTTCTTTTTAAAAAAATGCAGTTTGTATGCAATCAAACGTATTCCAGTTCTACAATCAATCCTCAAAATTTGGCAAAAAAATGTTCTTTTCTAATTGTAATTTAATCCTATTCTAATAGTAATTTTAACATTTTTAACGCACATTGTTTAATCATTAAATTTATCAGATTGTTTTATTGTATGTAGAGCATGTATACAGATTTGTGGCCATTCCTACGTAAATACGATTCGAACGACCCTCGAACGAGAGCGACGAACGCACGTTCGACGCATTCAATCGGATGCATTAAAATCATGCGTACATCGTGACTCTTAAATTAGGTATCGTCGTCTCTCTACCCCTCCTAGTTACGATTCGCGGCGTTTCGGCACCTGCTCCACGTACTACCGTTTTTTTTTTTCTTTTTTTTTTTTTCTTAACGTTCTAAGTGAAAACAGAGAAGACTAAAAATAGGTGGTTTGACGCACGTTGCCGGTGTTAAGGTAAGTAAGCAACATGAACCGTATGTGTTTGCTCTTTTCCCTCGGACGATAGTCTTCCTCAATGCCGATGCGCCGTTTGTTGTTACCGTAAATATGATGATATTGCTACTGCGCAATTAAGGAAACATATCAAGACAAATTCTTCTTTGTCTTGATTGATCAAAGTCTCATGCAATCTAAAATCTAGCGAGTAGTCTAATACGAATGTTGAAATAGTACCTGTTAAACGAAGTTAATATTAAATCAACTTTTCAAGCGAATAGAAGCTGGGAACGTCGTTGTAAAATCTCACAAAATTTAGAAGACAAAATAATAGTACAAGAGAATTAATCTGAAAATCGCCAAATTCAACGCCAAAAAATACATAATACATTTGGCAAAATATTTAGAAGCAAAGAAATGGCTACTTTGTATCAAATAACAACTTTGGCGTACTTTTTTTGCGTATACGCAATTAATATAAGTAATTAATTAATTAATTAATGTATAAATAATTCGTATTTAATAATTGAAATTTTTTTTAACTATTGATTACTGAATTATACATATATATATAAGAAAAGATGAGTCGGATAGTCTGTCAGATAATTAATAATTTTGTTATAAATTGAACAATTTATACATATATTTATAACTTAGATACAATTTCTAACTTGGATGAGCTCATTTTGGCTCATTGTCAGCCTATAAAACGAAATTTTCTTATTGTTTATTCAACGCGTTTCTAATAAAGATTCATTATTTAAATGAAACCCGGTTGATGTTTTCAGAAACGATTTTTCTCTTCTCTTTCTGAAAACTCACGAATCATTCTGGCAAGAATTGTTCCAACAGCTCGGAAATCATTCTTCTACTATTTCCCTATCACTCGCGTGATGCCCAGATTATTCAGAATCATGCTCGCACGAGCTCATTGTTATTAAAATTTTGTATTTAAATTTAATAAAAATAGCAATGCATGTATTATTAGATGTATTATCAGATATGTTTACGATTATAATATACCTACGAAATGTGTAGATTGCCCATTTCGACTAAAACATGATTTTTTAAATGACGTTACGTTAAATTTACGACGTAAATTAATTTCAAATTCAGCATAAAAAGTATAACGCGTGAAGAAGACGCGATAGATGTTGAGGGTGGAACTTAGCATCCGCGCGCCGCTGTTTGCAGCTCTCCAATATAGCTGTTTCGTCAACCGTGTTCCACGAAACCGTCAACTCGATAATTATGTACTCTCAATTCCGTCGCCCAAGCTTCGCAAAAGCACTCGCTCTTGTCTCTCTTCTTGCGCGTCCCTTTTTACTCACACGTTGCGTCATTATTGTATGTGTACAATCAAGTCGTGCTCATTGCACGGGCTTACATGTGGGCGAGTTCGGCACGTGTATATATTGACTTGGCGTGGGTGAGACCCCACGATTGGAAACATATATCAACGAAAGTAAATCCTCTTCGACGAATCCGTCCTCATCCTCTTCTTCTTCTTCTCTTCGCTCTGTTTTTTTTTTCTCTTATTGCCACTTCGTTGTCGCAATTCGCTCCTCAATCAATACTTCGCACTCCGTTTAAGAGCTCCTTGAGAAGCTATCCCTATACTATAATGATAGTATCCCGTATACTTTCGTTTACTCAACCACAAAATACACTTTTACCGAGAATAATCTAACTTAAATATAGCCAGACATACGAAGTTAGATAAATTATTTTAACACCTTTTCCTGCAAGCTTCCAAGTATCGTTGGATAACAAAGTTTACACTCGCGGAAGAGAACGATCGTGGAAGAAGGTTTTCGCGAATGATAAATTTCTCAAAGTTCAGTGGCTGCTTGGCAAACGCACCAGATGTGCTGTACCTGCAGTCACGTCAGCGCAGCGTCTCGCAAAATAGACAATAGCTGCGCCTGTGAAATTAAAGTCTAATTGCAAACAGATACAGCTGCAAAGTAAAACGCACTGTAAAACTCGACTCACATTTCCACCTTCATTTACCGTTTACTGATAAAAGTCATCACACGATGATTGCCACACGGCCATTGGCCTCGGGATTTCCACATCCATTAATCAATCCTGCCCCGCGAAACTTTCGCGCCCCGTTACGTATATATGTACATACAAATGTATACGTTCGACGACGACAATATGTTTCCGTCTATCCTAGATTCTTTCCGTTTCTCGAAATTCGCCAACGTCAAGGCTTTTCACATAATTTGCGGATCGAGCGAGGGCGAGTCGGTCCCCGATGATTACACAATAACTTGTACTTTACTTCCATTGCGCGACCCCCGTGTTTCTCCTATTTATATCTTTAATATCCGGCTGTAGTATACACAACCGAACATCTCTCTCTCTCTC